GTAATTGTATTAAATCTTAAATTAATTATTTAAAAGATTAAGTCATTTGTATTTGTAAATTTCTATAGATGGAAAGATTATAATTTTAAATTCATAGTTTCTAACAATTGAACAGTATTTAAGTAAAAAAAAAAATAATAATAAAATGAAATAATTTAAATATTTAATTATTTAAGCATTTAAATTTAAAGTATTTCAATCTAATCTTCTATACGGCCTTATTGTTTAGTAGTACATATATTTATATATAATTTCAGAAATAAAAATAAAGAATCATATTTATATATAAATATGTAGTCTCTGAATCTGTTAATGAATTTTTATGTTTTCAAACATATTTTTAACTATATTTGTATATTTTTGTCATTTTCGAATTGAATTTTATATGAATTTTATTTGAAGTTTTACATATATTTTTTATATAAGTTTACATGAGTATACATGAAACTTATATATAGTATTTAAAACATATATCCTATGTACATATATATGTAATTATAATATAAATGTATAAAATAAGTTGTTTATGATAATTTTTATACCAAAATTAAAATATAAAAAAGGTATAAATGCAATAATTTATCGCTTGAAATTATTAAATATAATAAGTTCTTTTATCTAAATTTAATTTATAACTTCGAAATTATATTATTTGAAACTAATAATTTTTTTTTTTTATAAAACAAATTATTAAAGGTCATAAAACATTTTACTTTCTATTTAATTAAAATACACACACACACACACATAATATTTTATTGTTCATAAATTATATTAATACCTTTTATGATTTATATTTCATAAAAAATAATATATGTTTTTAATAATATTTGGTTTTTAATATACAACACTTATACTTTTGTTATTTCTTTTATGGAGAATAAATATATATTTTTTTTATATGAATCTATTATTACATATAAAATGGCAATATTATCTAGAATTTATTAATGAAATTATAATGGTTTCAAAACGTATATAATTTATAATATTTTGGATTAAAAATGATTATTATTCTTATGTTCACAGTAGTTCGTAAGGTTTTTAAATTTGTGAACGTATTTTGTTTCATTTACTATTTATGCTTCTTCGTAACTCATATTATTTAGATATATTTTTTATTGATGAATTATTAGTTTTTGTAAAGTATTCTTAAATGCTTAACTAATATATCTATAATACAAGTCCTTTATCTAATTTTTAATCACTCCTTTGAATACGTTCAATATTTCAATTTACTGAATTGAAGCATTAACCTCTCATTTATTCAGACTGTTCCACCAGTAAAATGGTGGATATGGTCTAATGTAACCATCTTGGTCTTTCGACCACTGGGTGACTGGAATTCCGAAAAATTGATTTATATATATATATATATTTAACTTATTCAAAATATATTAAAAACTATGAGTCTATACTGTATAAAATTTAAAGTGTCCATTACAAACTTTCTAATGTTCAGAATAAGTTTGTATTAAAACATAAAATTTCAATAGAATTAAAAAATCAAAAATCAGAAATCACAATTGATTTCTTTTGCTATGTATGCATGGTAATGCTTATTAGAGTTTTTGCAATAAGAAATTGAAATATTGGCATAAAATTACTATATTATTTATAAAAAAAATTAGATACATGTCAGATATTTTACATCTAACAATTCGCTATTAACCTCAAATTAGATGAAACTAATACAAATAAGATATGTTAGCGTGGGTATAATCATAATCTATCATACTCTCAAAAGATTATAGTTGATAAGCCCATTTGGGCTCTTTTAGGTAGTGCAGGTGTCTCCTTTACTTACTTTTACGTATGGCTATTGACTCATTTAAGCTAAACTAGCTCATCAAGAGAGTCAGAGGCGTGCTACTCATAAGCTACAACATTTGGTACAGACCTTTATCCAAATACGAATATATTCAAGGAGAAAGACGTTAAGCTGTGTAGAGACGTCTGTTGGCGAGACGTACTATTGCCAATATATATTTAATAGTAGTTACTTCTCGCTTGCGCATTTATGATAGTTTATTTGATGTAAAGGCATTCATAGATTCTTTTTATTGGTAATGGTTAGACTTGTCACCGATCGTTCATCTACCTAATGTTTCTATGCAGGTCCGTGCAGGTTCGTAGGTAATCGAATAAAATTTAAGCAACAAATGACAGCTTAAATATTAATATACCTTAGAGTTATTAGTATATTATTGTAATCATACCATATTTTATTTTATTAAAAAATATCGTTATGATTAGTATTAGATGGTTATTATATTTATAGTTTATGGGATTTTTACTTTTTAATTAAACTTGCATATTAATATATACATTTGCATAAACATCGCTAAATATATAAAATAAAGTTTGAATTTTTTAAATGATATATAAAAGATCAAAAAATATAAATAAAATTATCTCAAATATTATTATATTATTTTGTTATCAATTTAGTAAATCAAATTTACTACTCAACTTTGCAGAATAAGAAGTTATATCTTCAGATTATGTAAGACCTAATCGAATTAATCAAATATTTCTTATTATAATAATTTTCTATAAATGCCGTGATTTAAAAATGTTTAATCTTAATAAAAATCGTATTTTTATTTAATATAGATAAAAAAATAATATTTTAACTGTAATTATATATTAAGATAACAATATATTATACATAAAATAAATTACAAAATTATCAGTAAATTAATTATATTAAAAATAATATTTTATTTTCAATAAAGACTATTGAAAGATTTAATAAAAAGTTCACATAATCCAATAATTTGTGAATTGCAAACGAAAAACTATTCAGATATTTGTACTGGCTTTTAATAGTTGATATACAAATATTTTTAATTATAACTAAAACTCTACATTTGGTAAAGCAATTAATATCTACATCTTTATACATTTTTATACATTAAAAATATAATTTATTATTCTTTTTAAACTGACAAATATACAAATTTTATTGTGTAATATTGTTATAGATAATTGTTATTGAATAATGTATAATTGTTGTAGAATAGTAATTAAACCGCATTAATTTATAGACTAACAAAATGAACTAATTAAAAAGTTATTATTTATTTACTTTCCTTATATACAAAATTTTTTGCGAGTGTCGGGTATTAAAAAAGGGATACATTGGTTTGCAGAAGCAGGTGCATATATAAGCATAATGACCATCGTAAGAGCGCATATCAACTGACGTGAACACCGGCGGATTCCATCCTCCAATCATAAATGGTAATGGGGTCTTAAACTATTCACGTATGTCGACTTTCTTTATACGGTAGACATGCTTAATTGTTTTGTAAATGTTTATTATTTTGCTGAGCGTACTTCATGTCATGCTGGGTACATGGATCAGGAAATCGCTATTTGAAGAATTTCTTGATTTCCGAGATAAAAATATTAGTTGTCACCGATGGCTTGAAAAAGATAAGGACTTCAACAAATTGGTGCTACACAAAGGGAGTATATGTATATTCTAATTTGCGGATTTTTATGCAATAACTGATTCTTTAGTTTTCATTAGAGTAGATAATATGAAAAATAACGTATCTGATTTTAACTTAAGCCAAGACTAGTTTCCAAGTAATGTAAATATTAATTATATTCTATTTTATAATTCATTATTTTAAATATAAAACTGGATTTTTTGAAAAAGAAAGGAAAATGAAATACGAACATTAATAAAATGATTGTATTTTTCTGAATTATCAAAAATACAACTATAATAATAAAATATCAAATTTTTCTTTACAATTGATACTTATAATTTGCTGTATAATGTAGATATATATGTATATATATATAAATAAATAAAAAACTATGTCTATAAGTATATATATTAATAAAATAATAATCAATTTTGCATAGAAAATGTTTAGTGATGGCTCATTGTTAGAATTTGTTTACGTTAAATTAAACAAATGATGACAAAATTAGAAAAACTAAATTGTGTTCGTAGATTATCTTATTTTTTAAAAGGGGGAAATGTGAATAGAATTACATAGGCGATGTAAGGGTGGGACAAGGGGTGGGATGCATACGAAAAATAAATTTGTTCTGCAGCTGTGTACACCGTTTAATGTAAAAAATGAAGATCCCATCAGTCAACTTTTTACTGGTTAAGGTATTTTTTAATTGAATTTTAACTTGCCTTTTTTTAATCGAAATGAACGAAAAAAAAGATATCAATATTAATATTTTAGTATAATTTTATATTAACAAAAAAAGTTAAACTAGCTCATTTAATTAAAATACATTTATTTTACTAACCAAACCACAAATCTCAATACCGAATTATATATCAAGTCAAATGTTAATATATTTAATATAAAGATATGTAACTTCTAAATCATTTGACAATTCATAATAAAACACAGGAACTACACAGTTTAAAAAATATAATATTAGCTATTATTATAGCTATATTTATATTGGTACAGTATATTATATATATATTATCAAGAAAAATTTATTTATTTTTTACTTTTTTTTGTTTTTATACCTATTTGTACAATTTGTTCTTTAAAGTATATTATTTTATCATTTGTTTTATGAAAAGCTACAGAAATTAAATATATGATAAGAAAACATTAAATAAAAGACAAAAAACATATTTCGTTTCATGACTATAGTAATAACTATAAATAAATATGTAGTTAAATAAATTTTCATAATGCCATTTATGTGCAGTCTATTGATGAGTGCAGGTAATAAGCAAGATCAAATTTAGATAAATTTGTACAAGAGAAAAAAATTGTATAAGCTTTTTATTTTACTTCTATTTACAAAATGCTGTATTTATATAGATTTTACTTACGATAGTTTTGTTAATAATTCTGTATTAAATTCTGTTCAACATAATTTCTAATATAAAGAATATTGAGAATACTTTATTGATTATAACTGTAAATAAGTAGACTCTCTAAATATTTTATATTTTTTATTTACTATTTCTATTATATTTATCATCATTTATCTAAATGCCTTCAATATTCTTCTTCTTTGCAAATATTTTCAAGACTTTTAACTTTTAGCTTCCTTGATGCATCATACTCATCACCCAATTGTGTATAAATTTTAAATCGATTCTTAATGATTTTTTTTACAAGTTCTGAAACATTTACATATAATAAATTAATTTAACATTATATTAAAATTTTTAATTATTCAGTTTTAATTTTCAAATTTCAAGGACAATAATTAATTTTCAAATTAATTAGGAATTTATACCCCATTTAGTATTTTTAAAAATTAAATAGTTTTAGAATTATAGTTATTTGTTCAAATAATTGATAGCATTTTAAAAATAATTAAATAACTAAATTTCAAATTAACATAAAGAAATTGTATGATTACTTAAATCAATAATATATACAAAGCTCTTCCATTATTTTATATTGAAATAATTCAAATGTAATATTGTATTTAAATTATATAATTAAATAAACTAAATAATTTTTATTACACCAATGACAAAATAACTCGTCGATAAATTTTCACTATTTGCTTCAAAATATATTTTATAAAATACACATATTTCATTTTGATTAAAATTTGAATCAATACACATAGAATGTTATAAAATTTCGTCTCAAATTAATACTCAAACATATCGTAAAATGTATAAAAAATTATCTGAAATTAAATATGCAAACAATTTATATTATACTATTAAATAAAAAAAAATTAAAACGTAGATACCTAAGCTTCTAAGAATAAGTTCAAAATTAGTGTTGTAAAGAGTCATCTATTCTTAGAGATCATTTAATAAATCTCTTTTATCTTAATTGTACTACTATTATTTATGATAGTAAATACATATCAGTCGGGATTTAGGATTGTCGCGTCGCCGTGGCACCGAGGGTGTGCAGACGGTTTTTCTTGTCACCAATTGTAGTACCTGAGACTCTACCTAATACTCTACCTCTACATTGTCAGGTACATATTTTTAGCCGAAGGCAGAAGTATTTTTCAGATTTAATATATCAGATAAATAAATCGAGGTAGGTTATTCATAAAAATAATTGCTTTGTAATCACAAAATGTAAATTTGAATATTCTTTTTATAATTTTATACTATATATATTATAATTGTAATTTTCAATAGTTTTATTACATAATATATATAACATTATTTTATTTACTACTAGTATAAAATCCTTTACTATTCAAACATTGAATTTAATTTAATTTAATAAATATATTATTTACCATAATTTTTATACTAATATATTTCTTTTTAATGAAAATATGTATTAATGATTACAATTTACCTTCTAGTATACTTCTGCTTTGGATCATAGTACCTATTTCCTTCTTTAATTCTTTCATTAACCATGGCATAAATTCTTGTTGAACATCTGTAAACATTTTTATAATAAATGGTCAAAATAAATTAAATATATTAATTATATTATGATGATTTTGAACGTACCAAAAAACAATTAATAAATAATAATAAAAAATAAACAAAAAACAAATAATCCTTTCATAATCAAAATAAATGAGATAATAATATTAAAATAACTTAATTAAAAATTACAGAATATTTCACATATTTAAGAATTATTTTAATCAATTACCAGTTACACTTTTTATTAAAATAAATATTGTGTAAAATATTTGTACAGATAAATTAGTAAATTAATAAATTAATAAATTAATAAATTAAAATTATAAGAAATTTTTAATTTCCTATATAATATAAAATTAATTTATTCATTGCTCTAGGTACAAATGCGTATATTAATAATATATTACAAAAATAAATGTATTATAATTGTAAGAATATATTAAGTTGAATAATACAATTTAAAAGATATTTTATTCTGAATCACCCAATTATATTACTAAATAAATTACTCAATTATTTATAAAATAAAGTTTATATACCATATAAATAATATATAACCACCTGTTTTTATTTCATCAAGTAGGAATCCTGATATTTTAAGACCTTCAAGAACTATTGGAAGAAGTTCGGCGATATATCCAGTGAGAAGCACAGCAGCAGCTACACGTTCTTTAGTTTCTTGTTGCTTTTTTATCCCCTCTTCATATTGTTTTACTCGCCGATTCTATACAAACAAAAATAAATTCTTTAAATACTATAAATTCAATAAATTCTTTAATCGATACTTTGTATAATTTAATAAACGATACCTTCTCTTCACGGAGACGTCTGTCCTGCTCTTCAAGCCTCTGCTGTTCAGCCTTTTCCACTGCACGAAGCTCGAGAAACTTTCTTTGTTGTTCTCGCAATGTTGCGATTTCTTCTTCTTCCAAAACTTCAATTAAAGCTTGTTCAATAGTTTTATTAACTAAAACTTCGAGAATTGGCTGAATTTCTACATCATAATCAAAAAGCTAACAAATAAAAATGTCAATATATGTAATAAATTTGTTATTATAGGATATTTTTTAGCCCAATTAACATTGTTAAAAATTATAAATATAATTAAATGGTAAATAATAAATAAATAATTTGTATATTGTATATCAAGAATTTAGTTGATATATATATATATATATATATATATATATATTGTATTAAAAATTAATCATCTTCGGATTAAATTTTAATAAGCTACAACTGCTAAGTCTAAAATAAAAAATTTATTATTTTGTAAGAGGAATCAATAGTTTACTAAAAATAAATTAAGTCAATTTTAATATATAGTATATATTAAATAAATTAAACAACACATTAATTAAATTATTACTAGATATCATTACTCGAATAATTGATCGACCATTACTAGAATAATTCTAGTTAACTTTTACATTTGTTAGTCAACAAAAAAAAGAAAATTTTATTAAATAATAAAATAACTTATTAATTTAGTAAAATCAAGAAAAATAATTTACATATTTTAAGAAAATCCAGTCTAACATTAATTAAGAAAATAATTTTAACGATTTGGTTATTGCAAAAATTGTGTTTTCTCATTTATACCAAATTTAAAATATAGTTTCACTTTTTATCATTATTGATAAATTAGTGAATAATTAAAAATATATTTCAAAATATAAATTAGTGAAAACTAGTGAACATTCACCAATCTGTTCAATCACATGTGAACTTTCCGATTGAAACGGAAATCTTTTTACAGTCTCTCACTATCATGTGTTTTAAATATTTTTCATTTATAATCGCAGCTGTTTTAACGTTAATATCACTATAATTCATATAGATGATCATCAACTGTTTTAAATTAAGTTTTAATTTCATTTGTATTATTAAGTATAATTGCGTCGAGATGGATTTTCAAATGAATGATATTCATTCGCATGGAATTAAATAATGCAGGAGTATGGAAATTGATCTCATTCCTTTCGTTACCATTTGAGAATAGTAAAAACAAGATCTTTGCTTTCGACATAAATTCATTAAAATTTTACCAATACATTGTTTAAATTTTTCCATGACAAATAGGTACCAGGTATTTTAAAATTATTTAAACAATATATAATTATAATTATAATGCATTAAAAAGTTTTTAATTTTGTGTTACATTTAGTGGGAATAAGATTATTTATTATAAAAATTTTACTATGAAAGAAAAATGCTTTTATAAATATTATTATGAAATACTATATTAACAATATTTATATTCATTAGAAATTGCTCATATTTTATTTATTACCTTTCGGAATTGTATTTATAAACACATTTTGAATTTCATTTGTAACTTACGTCTCCGGATTCAATTTGCGTACTTGCATCTTGACCCATTTTTGTAGAACAGTAAAGTGGAGTTGAGGGCTTATTTAAAAAGTAATCCGTTTGAAGTGCAACTTCCGACTCATCTGGTTTTTCAAATAACTACAATAATGATTATTTCATAAATAAATTTTTTTTTATTTTTTAAAAAAATTTTTAAACAAATTTTTATTGATTGTATAATTAATATCTTCATTGTACTTATATAAAAATATTTATATTTTTAATTATTACATAGTGTTACGTAATTAAAAAAAATTTAATAGGATTCAACTACATCCGTATTAATTAAAAATTAATAATGCATTTCAGTATAATTTTTTAAATAACTAAAGGCAGGAATTGTCGGAATAATTATTGTCCTAAATTAAAAAAATTTATATTAATAAATAATGAAATGTAAAGATATTTTGCAATTATTGGTAAAAACGAAATTGTAAAAAAAATAGCAAAAACAAAATTAACTTGTTTATATACTTTTTGAGTATTTTTTAGAAAGTAATTGATTTATATATTTTTATGTTCTCTTATATATCTTTATACATTATTGAAAATCAAATTATTTTAAATTAAAAATAATAGATGAAATTTAAAGTGTGCTATGAATGACTTTGATTTGTAATTTCTTAACATGCCTGTCTTTACCTCCTCAAGGAAGAGTTCGGTTTGTACGGGCTCGTGTTTTCTTCCTGTTATTAAAGGAGGAGTACCTATGCGTACCAATTTTGCGTTTAATACTTTTAACTCATCATATTTTCGTACACTCTGGCGTTTTTTCATTTCTATATATTTTTTCACCTGTGCTTTTTCACAATCCATCTATGTAGATGTTTAAAAGTTTAATTATTGAGATTAATAGTTCATTACAAGAAATATTAAAGTATAATTAATCACTTATCAAATTTAATTATATTTATAATGTGTCATAATAAATATTTTGAAGTGTTTATTAAATAATAAAAAATACTTATCAAATTATTAAACTAATTTTATCAGATGAAGCTATACGCTTTATCAAATAAAATAAAATTCTTAAATACAAGTGTACAAACAACATATTCAATTGTGTATTTTATGAAATTTACGAACTTCAGAATAGCTGCACTACACAATGGAACACTAATTGGATTACCAGTCAAGACACTTACTTTTATTTCTTTCTTAAAGAAAGTTTGTAAAGGAAAAACTACATTTACAGAGAAACCAATTAAAAAGCCACACTGTCTATTTTTAATAAACAGTTTGAATTGAGTTCCATATTAAAATATTTATTTCCAGCGTTTCAATGAATTTCATATTACTCAGCAAAACGTGATTTATGAAATTAAAAAATTATCTATGAATATCTCTTTCATAGCCAATATCAACAGTTACAAATAACTATTAAATTTTCTTTTGTTTTATTCAAATTTAAGAACTTTCAATTATTCCTAATGCCGTGCATTTCTTAAGAGCATGGACTTCTGGTTTCAATATATATTTAATATTCAAGCATAAAATTATAAAATCTAGTAGCTGTTTATCGATAGTGGTCAGCCAGTCAATTGGCTCAACATTGGCAATCGTTTGTTATTTGTTATAAAATGGATATTTTATAATAAGTCTAAGTTTCAATTTTCCAATGTATTTAGCAATGTATTTTCAATGTATTTAGTTCCATTTAGCAATGTAAAAACAGTTTTTTTCGAATTTATGCATAGAATACCACAAAAATAGATTTTTACGTTAACAACTGTGAATAAAACCGATATAATTTAATATAATGCAACACTGAGACCATTTCTTAACTATTTGTATAAATAATCTGATGGCTGCATCTAACAATGTTTAAATTATAGTTCTAGAGACTATACTTTACTTAGATACTGCAACTACATTATCCATTTTCTGCACAACATTGTTGTGTATTATTTAAAAATGTGACAAATAACTATCATATAGTACAGTCTCAAACGTACATTTTAAAAGTTGTTAACAAATTATCATTTATTTATTTATCATCTAATCATAAATTGATCATCATTTATCAATTTTATATCTTTTTCATCGAAGATTACAAGAAGTTATTTTTTAAGTTTTTAGCATATTAGAATTTGAATACTAATAATTATGAGCACCAAAACATCTCTTAATGATATACTACAATCTAAGAAAAACGTATATTATTTATTATACACGAATACTATGGCTCTGATTCTTTAAAACAATAAACAAAAACAAACAAAAAAAGAAAACAATTGTGCGTTTAAATAAACCTCATACTTATTCTTTTAAAAGAAAAAATTTAAATTTAAATGTGTATTATAAAATTTGTCGAAGAAACTACGCTATACAGATTTACTATAAAATTTACAAATTGAAAATATATTTAGGATTTTGTATGCAAATGTAATATAGAATAATGGACTCAACTTTTTAATAATACCTCAATCATAGAAATATATTTTAGAAATTATTCCATTACTCAAAATATCAACTTTAATTAATAACCAATCGTACTCTTAGTATAGGAATTATGTCCACAAATTATGCATGATCATTAGGCCAATATATCACATAATCATTTGAATGAATAGTTAATTTTTCGTAACACCATGCATACAAATAAAAGAAATCAATAAATTTATAATTCTATATTATTTATAACTATTCATTAACTTGAATGTAACTGTTATGTGTAATACCAAGCACAATTACACTATAGTAATAGAAAATATTTAGGTACATATCAATAACAGTTTTTCATAAATCAAGCAAGTGAATTTAAAATATTTCATTACCAGCTAAATGTAATAATTTGACGTCATAATAACGTGAAATAGATTATGGTCCTACTAGTATGTAAAGAAAAATGTACTAGAGTAATACGAAGAAAAAGCTTTCGAACAACACCCCCAATCGTCGTATTTAACGAATGTTTTATTAAGCAGATGTCATTATTAAACATAAAAAATAAAAAGTACATTGTATGAAAAACTATGAGAACCGATCTTTTAGTACTATGAACAAAAATTAAAAATTTATTAATAAAATTAAAAATTCTAAAATTTATAATTTGGCATTATTAAAAAAATTTTGAGTACTCACAAATCAAAATGTATTGTTATGACAATAATTTAAAGATATTCAATAGTCGTGCTAGTCTGATAATGATCTCTAATATAAAATGAGAATGTTTACTGAAACAATAAAGTTTCTTGTTAAATAATCAAAACAGTTATTAAAAAAAATCACATTGCTTATTTTTCAATAAACACTTTTTAATCAAAATCGATATTAAATTATTTATCTTCAATCATTATTTTTCAAATAATTATTCACCTAATTATTTTATAATTTTTAACTATGTATATTTAAAATTATCTAAAGTAATTTATGTTAATACTATATTTTTAACAATAATTTATAATTTATAATTACGATAACTTCAATTTTAAAATTTAATGAATCGTACTAAAATGCTTTAATAATAATAGTTACATTAAATATACCTTTAATACCGTTTACACTACACTTTAAATATTGAAATACTTACGACTACTGGAGTAGAAAAAATATTATTCCGCATTAATCTTTGATTGAAAGTTAAATTTCCAAATATCTGTGGATGATTCCTGAAATAATAATAAAATTTTAAACTCAATTATAAAAAAAAATTATACCTTGTAATTAAAAAGATATCGATGATATTTATTAAAAATGATTATAAAATATGCATTTATTTTTAATTTTTTTTCCTTAGCCTATTAAAATTAATATTAAAAAACACTCCGTTTAAAAAATTCTTAGTACATATATATTTTTATATATTATAAATTGATTAAAAATTAAATTTTAGAATTTAATAAAATAAAAGAATAAAATGTACAATTTTATACGATACCAATTTTGTATCTTATATTTTTTCACTAACACGGAAGTTTAAAAAATCAAATTATTGTCTTCTAACACTGAAAAAACTTAAGAATAGATTTTGAATTAAGAAATTACATATATAAATAATTATAAATATTCATTTGCACAGATTACATAAATATTTCTTAAAATTATCATTACATTCATTCTTTTAGTAAAATAGTGCATTTAATAATGTATATGTTAATTATTATATACATGTTATGTTTGTTAAAATGAGTAAATTGTGTATTAAATGTATATTATTTTATATTTATTTTAAACGAAAAAATTGGTATGTTACAATTAGCGTTGATTAATTATAACATAATTACAAATAAAGGAATAATATTTGACGAAATATTAATAAAATTTATAAAAAATTTTAATTTTTACATTTCTACAAGCAATACATGTATTTGTTATATAATGATAATAAATATATCTTATTTAATAAGGCGTGTTATCCATTTATTCCTAAATTTTTAAATAATTGTATTAAATTTATAATATTTTGTTGAATAATGAACCACCGTTTAGGTGTTGGTTATTTGGTTAAGTCGCGTTGTTGATGCTTATCTTATATGAAGAAAAAACTTAGAATTCTTTTTTTTTATTGCATAATAAAATTCTTAAAATGATTGTATAAGTAGTAATTACATATACGAATCTTAAATTAATCTTAATTATAATATATGAAACACAGCGAACAAAAATAATTTATCGGGCAAACTTAAACTTATACTTTCATCTATTTTAATTTTCTTTCATACTTTCCTATAGATGATCAATATTGAAATGCTTGTTAAACTATTATATCGAAGGTCTTTGGTTTTTTGATTACTACATTACGTGCGGTACTTAGATGATGGCGCACTAATGGTTTCTAGTTGAGTGATACGATCTGCTGACGAGAACACATGTGGTAAATTAAATTTATACGATTCTTATTATCTTTGATTTTGATACTACCAGTCATATTTATTAGTACACCTACATTAGTAGTAATATAAATACGTGGTGACAGAAATGTACTGCTTTTTACCGTTGTGATAAATAGTTTGGAGTTAATATATATTAACGAAAATTAGTATATTTATTATTATTATTGTTATTATTATATCTTGTATTTGTATAATATTGTAATATGCTTATAAGTGCTCTTCGAAGCAGTTTTAAATAATAGAAATTATATTTTTTAATATCTTGTAAATTTAGCATATTTAAAAAATTTCATACAAAATCTTACAACACGAATCAAAATAACATATAAAGAAATAAAAACACAATTTTTAAATGAATTAAAAAAGAGATATGGAAAACAGTAATAAATACTTCCATAGATCAAACACAGTATTATTATAATACTATATCTACTGTTATATTTACTGGAAATATTAAATACCTAGCACTAATTCAATGTAGTAATTATAGATCCCGATTTTTGACAGAGAATGACAACATAAATCTAAATGCAACGGTGATTGCAAAGAGTTTTGTAAGTATATTATGTAATCACGTACACGTGCATTTTAAATAAGCATTTACTTAATACCACTAAACATGAAGTCATTGCGCATGCCCTGTTTAGAACGCAAACTAATAATTTTAGGAAAATTATTTAACATGGTTTATTTAAAATATACACGAAAAGTGTACAATCCTATTGCGTAAACTGTGCATGGGATAAGTTATTGATTTTAATAAGGTAAGATATTACAAACGAATTTTATTTACTACCGAAGCTTTGTGATCCATGTGAGGCTGTATAGAATATTCCTGTAGATTGGGTCAAATACTTTTACAATGTTTTATTTATTATATAAAATATAAAATATAAAATATAAAATATTATATACAAGGTCCTATATAATATGTATACTGTAAGGTACTATACAAATGTTAATAACATTTATTATGGTATTGGAAATATATTTTTCATTTTATTTGCATAATAAACAAATTTTAGAATCAATTTTTACGTTAATGTTTGAATTTCAAAACTAGAAGCATTTATTAGTATATAAACATTTTTCTTATAATTTTTCACAATCCATTTATTTAACATTATTTAACAAATTTTGTTTATATTTAAGTAGATTTCAGTTTTTATATATCTATAGATTAAAGAGAATACTATAATAACTTTTGAAAAATTAAAATACTCTAATCTGCTAATATATGGAACATATGTAATTTTAGTTTTTTATACGAATTAATTTCGATTCTTTCCAACATGTAAATTTTTATCTATGTTGAAAAGAGTTTTAGAAAGTAAATAAAGGTAAGATTTTTAATAAATTACTTGACCTATTTAGTGTTTTTACACGTTAAACATTTTTTGTAATATTTATTAAATATCTCTTATTTTACATTTTTTGTTAGAAAGTTTGTGGATGAATAGCACAGTGGTATACTATACTCTAGAAAGAACTTTAGATGAAGATTTATTTATAAAGAGTTTTGTATGCTAATTAAATTGTTGGATAAATAGATCAAGGGTTATTGAATAAACCAATAGCGTCATGAGTGAAAGTTATATCAATAGTATAGTGCGAGAAAGGTATAATAGAATATATATGCATCAACTTTGAATAAGAGTTCTTATCGTGAAACTTCTCATTGTAAGGGTGCAGTGAGCTAAAATATTCTCACAGTCCTGCTATACAATACGAAAAGATACTTTTTAAAGATATTGCAGGATTCAAGAACATAGTGAATACACGAGAAATAAATATATTCGAAACTATACAGAATAGATTATCTAAAAATTGTAAAATATGATTTTACATATAGATATTGTTCATTAGAGAATTATCAATAGTAGTCCATTATGTAATATTGAAGCCTAATCAAATAGTAGTCAAGTTATTTGACTAAGTATCTATAAATGGTTATAGAAAAGCTGAAAATTTGTTGATATTCAAAACATAATTAATAAAAAGTTCATTAATCACAAGTTGGACAAAATAGCCATCCATAGAAACATAGTTTTGAAGGACGAGGTGTCTTTAAATCTCGAATGCTTAAGTAAAAAAATTTTTATTGGCTTAAAGTAAAATGAAATTAACGAAATTTTTATTTTATTTAATTTGAATATATTAAATTAATATTAATAATGAGTTTTTCATTAAAATGTTTTCATTTTTCATTAAATCAATTCAATAATTAGTATCATATTATTGCCAAATAAGTGCTAACTTTTTTTTTATAAACTTGTGTATTATTTAGTAAAATATACAGAATTTATACATTTATAATAATTTTATTGTATTCTTAATTCAATGAGTCGATTAAATGTATGGATCACTCCCATTTCAAATATTTTCCATATTCTTCTAAATCTTCACGGGTATTTCATACAAATAGCTTATCTTAAAACTTAAGTGACCTACACTAGAGTACATTCAGTGTAAGAGTAAACTGGGAAATAATGTACATAAATAAAAATATTTATAAAAAAAATAGACAATAAGTATTGCTGTGATCATTCCCAATATATATATATAAATGGAGTAAGCAAATTTCAATATTATAAAAAACTGTATAGCTGTTAGAAACCCTCCACATAATAAACATGATAAAAAGAAATATTTCATGTATATGTATGTATGTGTACGTATGTGTATATATATATATATAATTTTTATATTTTTATAATTTTATTTAAAAACTAATTAAGTCATATATTTTTTAACTACTATATTTCTCGTCAATATTCTTTATATAATCTAATATATGTTTATAATAATTCCGTTATTTAAATTTATTTTAAAAATAAAATTAATTAAGTCATAGAAATATCAATTTCAATAATTTATAAAAACTTACTAATAATTTACTGTTTCTTATAAAAATAAATAATTAGATTAACTTTATTAATTACATTTTATAATTTTAAATAAATAATTTAAATATAGATAGATATTTATTATAATAGGATTATAATATATGTACAAATAGTTAACATATTCATTTAAATTTAGTATTTGTATGACTGCAGTTTTAATAAATCTTCAGTCAGAACAGATTTGCAAGGATATAAAATAACATAAAATTATTTTATTAATCAAAAAACGAATCAAAAGTACAAAAGTGATTTTAAATTTGAAGCAAATGAAAGTGTTGGAAAAATTATACGTTAAAAATGTCATAAGATCATTTATACAAAAATAGCTATAAAACATCATACTTATGGTATATATATATATATATAGAATATGAAACTAAATAACTATTATCTATAACTATGTACAATCAATAACATATATCATCTACACTTCATAAATAATCTATATTGAAATTTTTTTGATTGTATAGTATATTTTGTGAATTAATTTAAATATAATTATTCTTATAGTATCAAAATTTTATTATTTATTTTATGTTTATTATAATAACTTTAGATATCTTATTGTTATTAAAGATTTTATTTTAAAAAATGTTTCAAATTATACATAAATAAATAAATTATTGATATCTTATATATCTAATAATACATGTAATAAACTCTCTATTCCTCTTCTGCATTTCAAAATTACTCTGTACTTCTCCTACTCTTAAAACGTATCCATTCAATTGAATACTTCCTTATTAGTCTATTTTATTGTATTCATACTATTTTATATCCCTTTATTCTCAAAATTATTAATTACATATATAAGAATGTGCTTGATATCGAATAATACAAACCAAATATTATAATTAATACTTTTAAAATTAGTTGGTCAATTAAAAAATATTAGTAAAAGTTTGTTACACATAACAATAAATATAGTTATTTTAACATAAACTAGAAATACATTGAATTTTTTTTATTTCTGTACAAACAATTAACTTTAAACATAAATCAACTCCTGTTTTTTCTACAAAATGCTTGACATATGAAATAAATTAGTTTAATTATGAAATAAATAATTAATTATTTTATTATGTACTATTAAAATATTAATTGATAATAATTGATATATAATTTATATATTATATAAAATATAAAAACACAATTATTAAAAAAATGAATAAATTTGTTTTGATTATTTATTTTAATTAATATTTTAATTAATTTAATTAATATTTTAATTCTTATGTTAATTCTAATATAGTAAAACTTAATTAAATAAGTAAATTAAAATAAAAATTTAATAAACAAAATTGATTAATTAAATAATAAATATACATTTTGTTGATTTATATATTGTTTCACAGTTCAGATATTGAGATTAGATTGTCTATATATTAGTGAATAATGGTTTAAATTAAAATTTTGTAACTATATTAAAATGTAATTACTATTAATTTAATAAATAAATTGTACATTATTTTATAGTTTTCAACAGAAATAAATATAATACCATATAGGTTTTATATATAAATAACATATATAATAAAATATCATTAATTGCAAATCATATATTTGGAAGTAATTACTAAATATTTTTATTTCCTAATACTATGTTTACTTTTGAAATGTGTATAATTATATATACAATTAAACCTTACACTTTTACTAACCTAATTATGATATAAAATATATTTTTTTAAAACATTACGACAATTTTTATTTTGAAAATATTCTTTACTGTATTTGACATTCATATTAATATTACAAGTAATTCTAAATGCGACAACAATTTTATATTCTATAACATTAAGTAAATGTAATGTAATTGTGCCAATAAAAATTTTTTTTAATAAAGACCTTATTATTTAACGTAACAACTGCAAGTACACAATAAGTAGATACTTACATAGTTTGACATTTTTTCTGTAAATTTGTCAAAGACTCTGCAGTTACTGGAGTTAATAGATACTTGCATGAATGTAGATTATCAAATTTCACAGTATCATTTCTAACAGAAAGACCACCACGATTACACAGCGGACAATATTGTGTCTTCATGGTCTTGAATTTATTGGTAATAAATTCCTATCTGCACATAAATAAAAAATGTTTATGAGTTGTATAATGTTATACATATCCCTTTTGAATTTTGGGTATAATAAAGTAAGAGCATAATTAACATCTAAAAAATTATAATTTTTAATTGATTGCAAGTTTGTGTACAAGTTTTATTTGAATCATAACTTTATTATACTTTTCAAAAATACTATTATTGTAAGGTTTTTAAAATATGATGAAATGCTTGAGCAAACTAAAAAATATTTTTTTAAACAGAAAGTTTGGAGTTGGCATGGAAACATAACACATGTTGAATCTCTGAAGCATATTTATAATGACGCTAAAGAATGGAAATAATGAACAATAAAAAATTCTTTTGTTTTGCTTTTTTTAGTAACAATAATATTTCAATAATTAATTAATGTATAAATTGCAATATTATGTTTAAATAAAATTTCAAAATGTTTTACAGTCTAAACAAATTTAAAACCTCATATTAAAACTAAATAAATTTGGCTTAGCAGTTTCACTGATGCCATCTAATGTTTTCTAAAAGTAATAATTTATTAGTATATATGATAAGGAAGATTTCACATTTATCGTATGTAGATCATATAATGGATTATGATATAATTTATCATCAGAAAATAACAATATGTTGGCAGTTGGCAGTAATAATGTTTACTTGTGTATTACCCACAATAAACAAGGCTTTTTATTAATAAAGTAAATTTATCTAAATTTGTTTATTTTTTAACAGTCCTTATCTTCATATTACTATTATTTTTAAAATACTGCGAACTTATAAATGTATAGCAGTTCTGTCACAGAATTGTATATCCATAAAAAAAATAGGTTAGAGTTGCATATTACTAGTTTTATTTATAATTCATGTTTGGTTGAATATAAATATTTTAAAATATATATAAACTTTAAAATAATTTTTAATATAATTATATAAAATAACAACGTTTTTGTATACGATATTTAATCAAGAATAATTTAAATATGGTATAAACAACTTGATTCATAATTATCTACTACAGGTGTCATTCTAGAGCATTCTTTAATTAGTAATATTATATTCTATTTTATATTGAAATTATGTAATTATTTACTAGTAACTAACTTTCAATCATCACATTTGTTTGTAGTTTTTTCGATTCCTAATCTTTTAAGAATTTAGAACACTTATTTTAATACTTACATTTTGGTACAATAAATGATAATAAAATTATATTTAATAAATAGGTTTGAGAATATAGGTTTCATTGTTGGTTGATATAAACCCTCTTCTATGATTTAATTTATCAATATAGTTAAATTTTCTATTAACTATGAATATAAAAAAATTATCAACTTTGTAATTATTAATATTATTAGAATAGTTTTTTTCTAATTCATTGTTTAAAAATATTATAATTTCTAATGTCAAGAATTACGTAATATATTATTAATATATTTTGACATCAGTAATATACATGCATACATATTTATAGTAAATATTAATTATTTGAGTTTTAAACTTTAATATAAACAATAAATAATTTTCATATATTACTATTCCATTACACCTATAAAGAGGTAAATATGTTTAAATTAATTTTAGTTTATTTATTTATGGTTACAAAGAAATAATTGCTCATAAATATTTATATTAGTGTATCATAAAATATTAATAATTCATAATAAAGATACATGAATACTTAAGGATTTTATGTTCATAAATATAAAATTGTGTACATACAAGTCAGTGAGTCCTGACGTTCAACTTTGTAAAGGATAACTGTATTGTCTGTCCAAAATTTATAGTGCTCTTATAGTACTCTTATAAAGTTATAGTATCTTTCAAAGCTAATTGATTAATATTTTCCTATATAAGCTGCATTTAAACATAATTTTTTCCGTTTGATTTAAAATATATTTTGTACAAATTTTATTTAATTTTACCATAAACTTAATATCAGATCTATTTTAACATACAATATTGATGTCCTTGCAGCTGATGACATTAGTGCCACTATGGCATCATTATTTTACTCAAGATCGCAGTTTGTGCGACAGATACTAAATACGTAGTGCTTATTCTAATATTTTAGAATTTCAGTGACCTTTGTATGATACTGAAGAATACTAGCAGTGGAATTTAAAATGGTGAGGTAACTCACTTTTTACTTTGACTGTTGCTGCAATATGAGAGAGCCTACTATTTGATTATACATATTTTGTTAGTAAATTAAGAAGTTTTAATTAACCAGAGAATATACTATTTTGATAAATTACATTAATTAAAATATTTAATTATGAAATTTTTGGAATTTTTTTAAATGAAATATAATAAATAGTTTAAAAAGCTTATATATTAATGATCAATTCCAATAATTTTGAAAAATAATTTAGATAAGTCTTTATTATCCAAATTCTATACAAATTTATTAATTTAATCATATTATTTATCACATTTATTATTCATTAAAATTATACGCTAAATGATATTCTAATATTCAAATAATATTCTAATAAAAATAAAGTTTTATAAAAGGTATTTTATGAGTTCCATATTCTACGAAGTTTAACAAAAATTATTTACACAAGTCGTCAAAAATAATTAACTGGCACCGAATCAATAATAGCCTTCATAATAATACGACATTTGGCAATTCTTTAAAAATAACGATAGCATCAAAAACTTCTAATTGAATATATTAATATATAAATATTATTTATAAAAGTATATAAAATCTATATCTAAAACGTTATTATGTATTTAAAAAAAGTATTTTAAATGTTATATTTAATATATATTTTCAATTGAACATTCTTGAGCATACGATGTTCTAACAGTATTTTGCTTTTGCTATAGAAAAAAGATTCGATAAGGAATAATTACAATCCATAAAGCATATAAACTATAAACATTGATAGGTAAATTAATTAAACGACAGAAAGAATGATTCATAATTATTTATAATTATAGTAAATTATATTTAATTACATAATTATTATTTATAATTATCTATATTTAGTAATGAAATTTTGTAAATGATAAATGTAAATTTTGTAAATGTTTAGGAAATTATCCTCTGAATTGCAATTTAGGCAAAATAAAATAAATTTTTATAATTTATAAATTTAGTAAAATAATTAACAAGATATATATTATTAAAAACTATCAATATTATGATGCAAATTTACGCGTAATTTGTTTTTCCTATCAGTGACCTGTTGGATAATACAGTATATTACAGTAAGTTCGATAGTATAGTCTCTGTATTATTTTTTTATAATTAATTCTTGGTTTTCAAATATAACATGATTAATAATTGTTCCCTGATCTGAAAATTGAATACTTGGTATGACTATGGAAACTCGGTACATTCTCATACTGATTGGCAATTTATTGTACCTAAAATAACACCATCAATTAGTAATTAAGTTCAGATCATTTTGTAGATTCTGTTATTCCTTATTGAATAAATTAAAATAATAACGTTATTCTATTATTAATTTTTACCTAAATAATTTGAGTGTTGGGGGGAATTATTCAAAATTTGCAATAAAATCAAATACATTTTTTCGCTTTTTTTATAGACTTTGTTACAGTGATTTCATGATTTCCATATTAAAATGAATGAAAATGATAAAATAATCATAATTACAAACAGTAAATTTTAAATAATATATAATTCAGAGATTTAATAAAGTTTTATCAACAAAAGTTTTCCATGTTAGTTTCTCTTCTTTAACTAAAACCTCCATTATATTACTTTCGAATTTCGTTAATGTTTCTCCAATCCATTTATTTAGTTTTTGAACTATGAATGAATTTTAGATTCAATTCTTACAGCGATAAAATAAGTCATACAGTTAATATAAATATACAACATTCGGTGTTGTAATCTCAATACTATTTAATATTCAATTTTACAGCCAATGTGCTCTAATTAAATATACCAAAGTGCTTTACATGAATTTTTGGATAACTTTCGAACTGATACATTTAATCTATTGTAATATAATAATAGCAGTTCCAATTCATTTTATTTTCTGAACAGCGAAGCAACGCGTAATGAAATTAAACATAATTATTATAATTTTGAGTTTTGAGATTGGCTAATTTATATTTTTAAATAAATGTTCTTCTAAAAAATTTATTAAACGAATAGGGTAGGTTAAATATTTTAGCAACGCAACATTTTAATCACTAATGAAATCAAGTTTTTTTAATTTATAGACGCAGGTTTTAACTTGAACAATTTATTTGTTTGCCATAAGTTTTCGTTAGTAAACTTGTTTCATCATTATATTTTTTTTAATTTTAACTGCCATTTTATTCAACTTTACATCAAAATGAACTAGCTTTCATCTTTACTATTTATTATATATATTAATATATAATATATGTTTATGTATTAACATAATAATAAATATTATACCATTATATTTTAAAATAATATATAATTCGAGTATTTAAAGATGATATTAATTGATTTTGTGTAATTTTTGTGCCCTTCATTTAAATGGAAGAATAATAGTTATAATAGGTATTTAATTTAATCTGAGTAAATAGTATTTATCATTTAATCGTAATTAATAGTAGTATCATTTAATCTGAGGTAACTATAAAGTTTATGTTGTATTGAAATATCGACAATAAGAGAAATAAATGAATAAAAAAGAATATAAAGAAAAAGACAAATATCGACAATTGAAATTACCTTTCTTTACTCGGAATTTTTAAAGAATAGTAGACGAACTTAAGATGATAATTTCCATAGATATAATCATGTGCATACAAAGAGAGAACTAGATCACTAAAATTAAATGGTTCATTTTATGTCACGCCGGCAAAACAAAACAAAAAGCAAAGCAAGGATAATCTTGATCATGTTTAAGATTATGTCAATCTATCACAGAAGCTATATCGAGTGTACAATGCTAATTCTAGAGACAGATCAATAGCTTGGAGCGCTAGGCATTTTTTCAACATTAACTTCAGA